TAAGATCTAGCTTTGGTGGTGCGTGACAGACACGTCAGGTTATCGCACATAAATACATGTTTCAGAAAACCAAAACACCATTCACATATGTATGTGTGTGTATGTGTATATGTGTCTGCGCATCTTTACAAAATTGATGGTGATTTTCTCTTTGCCTCTGTGGGTGAGACAAGGAGTATTTCCTACAGAATCTACAGGCAGGCGCCTAGTGCTGATCTCTCCCCGGGGAGACAGGACCGAAGGTTTCGCCTAATTTAAGGGGATCAAGATGATAAAGGACTCGAATGATTTTAATCTAACAGCCCTCTTCCGGGAAAGAACTTGCTTTCAGCATTGCAAAACAAAACCACAGGACTAGCTATCCTGCCAGGAACTCTGTGAGGAAGCTGGGGAAGATGACATAGTAAAGTAAGCTTGTATATCAGCTATTTCTTGTAAGTCTATGGTTTGATAGTTTATATTATATCAATAATGCATTATTAATACAGCATATAAATATTTTAATATATACAAACATTCGAATTTTATTGCTTTAGGTAGGCTACCCCTGGAAGGCTTTTGATCTGGCACCGCAACACTTTGCTTCCTGATTTCTCCATCATTCATTTGTCATAGAACAAAGTTGTTCTAATGGTTAGGAACCCTCTCATTTACGGCCTGAAAGTGTTCCTGAGTAGTACAATCCAGTACAGTCCTTCAGTTTAACGCTCCTCTTTTGGCTAGTGCTGACCCCTCTGCAGCCAGAGCGCCATGCAGCCCTTGTTTTGCACAAGCCAAGGCGTGTCCATCACCCTGCCTGTACACATTTTGATCCCAGTTATTCTGAAAATCAGGACTGGTCCTCGCTCCAGTCTGAGCTCTCCCTGCGCGTGATTTCACTAGCCGTGAAGGAGGGACAGGTACCCATCTCACAGCGCGAGGAAAGCTTTTGACCTTGTAACGTGCTGTACAGGTGCTAAGGCTGCAGCTAATGGCACACTAAATCGGTCTCTAGCCTCAAGCTGATAAAACATGATGGTGTTTGCAGTTGTGCATCCCACTGCCATTTACTACATGCAGCCGAGAAGCCGCACCTGCTCAGGGAACCACTCTAAGCTATGTTTTCCCCTTGAAAGCCACATGGTGATGGGATGTAAAAAGCCCTTTCTGTACACAAACACCTTGAGAGGAGCCTGCTGCGCTATCTAGCTTCAGTGCAGATGTCTTCACATAACTTTAAAATCCTGATAAAATAAACCAAGTCATTTTCTTTCCCTTTTCCAGCAGTGATCAGACGTAAGGAAGAAAGTGAGTTTTGGTAACTCCAGCTCTGGTTTTCCCTAGCAGTCAGACATGTGTCAAAGACTGACATTTCCTGGGCAACATGGTAAGGATTATGCTACAAAAAGCTTTGTACGTTACGACTAGATGTCATGCTGCGCAGTTATGCTGCTTGCTACTTAACAGTGACGTGAATGGTTACTCAGTCAGCTGTACAAGAAGGAACGGCTTTAGGAAAGTTGCTGCTTTGCTTATCGTCAAGCTTCTGACTTGAACCTGTAATTGTTTATTTAGGTAATACTCTACTTCTCCCTTCCTGGAGCTTAAGGTGACTCAGTGATGGAATTTTACTGATTCACAGAAAATTTTAGAGTATAGATATCACACCACTTACAGTCTCATTTGTAACAGCGTTTGTTTTAGAGGCAGAAAGATGTGTTTCTTTAGCCAGTTGACCCAGTTTATATCATAGGAAATACTCTGGATTTCTTCTCAGGAAAAATGTGACTGTGTTGGTGTACTTCAAAACCACTCTGGAATTCACATGGAAAAGCCCTGCCCACAGTTAGCAATAACATACTGGGCTAGGAAATCTACAGACAAATTGAAGCTACATAAAAGCACATACACATAAATCTATACTCATTACCGCACTGACAGTAAGCGCTTCAAGACAAGGATTCATTTTATTCAGAGAGCCTACTGCGGTAGCTTTTAACATCTGCATCACCAGGGACCATTAGCTGCTAATAAAGAGGCTGGGAAAAAAATAACTACGAAAAACCATTATATTCATTATCTTGATGGCTGGCCTAAAACCATCACCATACAGAGGTGTATGTACCTTCACCAGAAAATTTCAGGAATCCACAAGTCAAAAAAGGTTGAGGATCTCTCTGACTTACCACAATGACATACTTGTTCATAAAATGCTATTAAAAATAGAAAAAAGTAACTCCACCTACTAAAAAGAATCAACCTTTTTACAGATTTTTTTTTTTAAAGTATTCTATTCTCACTTTACACAGATACATTTACCAAAACTTTCAACTAACTGAACCACTAACTAATTTTGCTAACCTTTGATTAGGTATCGTATAGGTAAGGGCTGAACTGAAATCTGTTACTGTGAGAAAATGCAAGTTCCATTTTGGTCCTTCTGCAGAATATAAGACACTGGGGCCAGAATTTTCCTAACAGCTGCCAAGATAACTGTTTGCTTAGAGAGAATTTTGCCCTGAGTAGATTTATGGTAAAATTTGAAGAGACTTTAATTAATTTGCAAAAAGGCCTCTGCACCATTTTAATGCTCTAACAACTTGCTGGAAGCAGCCACATGTCTCATATGTCTCACATGGTATCTGGTGTGACTAATCAGGTGGAAACTGTTATCAGAAAAGACTACTGCAGGAGCCTAATGATGAACTCCAGTTTCATGCATGTATTTGGGGAAAAAAGATAAAGCTGATTTTCTATTGGTTTTGGAAAAAAGCATCTGTTTTGTTTTAGTTCTGCTCTTGTAATCAAGACTACAAGCAAACAAGGAGCAAAGAGGAAAAAAAAAATCACTTGTTGGTAGGCTTCCCCTTTTTTTAATTTATCCTACTGTCTGGCAGGTACTAGAGGACCATCAGGGAAAGCATGGAGTTCACTTCTTTCACCCGACATTCAAGCTAACCCATGGGCAGTTCAAACTACACAGGTGTAATGCAAAGCCAAGATCTGGCAAAGGAATAGTCAGCCTCAGTCCTGACGCTCACACACATCACCCCAAAGTCAGTGGGGCTGTGGATGCCCTTGCATCCACGGTGTACAGCAGGGACATGCCAACCAGTGGAACAATACCATTCACACTGGCTAGGAGCCGGTGCCCTTTTCAAGCGGGTGATATTTTGGTGGGACTTTTAATAGGCCAAATTTCAGGAAAGCCATTTCCTATTCTCACCACTCCCTTGCTTACCTGTAAAGCCTGCTCACCAAAACCTCGCTGGTGAATCCCATTCCTCCCCAAAACTGGAGACAGCTATCAGTCACTTCACGGGCCAGACGACCTGCCTTTAGCTTAGCCATGGAAGCAAATTTCGTCACATCGTTGCCTTCCACATAGAGAGCTAAAAAAGACACCAAAAAGCACAGTTATGCACAGGCAGTCCCTGCTCACAGCCTGCCTCTGGCAGTCACCTCCCCACATTCCTTTGGCCTGACAACGTTCTTTGCGTGAAGAGAAGCACCTCTGGGAAGACAGAAGCGGGAGCTCACCAACGGTGCGGTACAGCAGCGAGCGAAGGAGCTCCACTTCGGTTGCCAGCTCGGCCAGGCGGAAGTGCACGGCTTGGTTGTGCAGGACGGGACGGTCAAACACTGTCCGCTGGCGAGCGTAGTCAATAGTTTCTTCTATTATAGTTTCCAGCGGCGTCAGTACTTGAAGCAAAGCACAGAACAAGACATCATTTTAGCCAGATCTGTTGGTTTTCTTCTTGTTGGAAAAGATGTGTTTTTTTCACATTGTACAAACAATACATTAGGTTTTCTAAAGTAAATTATTCCATACGCTCAGTTTGGGGTGCACTTTCAGTTCTGCAAAAATCTGCTCTTTCCTTGTACCTTGAAGGCCTCTTTATCCCTATTTCACCTGAGCCCCAAGCTGCCAAAACTCAGAGGGGAGTGAAGGAGTGAAGGCGGGTGGGGAGGAGGGAAGGAAAGTCATAGGGAGCAGTATGTGATGACGAGTATTTAAACTTTATCCTTAATGCCTCACGTGGGGCCCTAGCAAAAGCTCACGGCAACTCCTGCCTTGCACGCTACCTGTGTCCTGAAGGTCTGTTACAGTCCTGAAAGAAAATCTGGAGGCAGGCAGGGTGCTCACCGAGGAATGCCAAAAAAAGAATGCCGTAGCAATGTAAATTCAAGGAAGCTTTCAAGGAGAAGGCAGAAAACTATTCAGAGATCAAGGAATACGAATAGACTGCTTACTACGTCTGCACTCTGTGAGCAGATCGCAGGATAGAAAGGAAAAACATTCACAGTCACTTTTAGTAAATGCGAAACAGTGCTTCTAACGGAAACAGAATCAAAACAGGGTACTGCTGGAAGACAGGCGAGAGAAGTGGGAGACACTGCTGTGAAGCAAGAGAACTAGTTTGCTGCTACTTTTTGAGCAAACTTAAGAGATATCCTGTTTTAAAGAAGAAGAGGGAAAACTTCTTTTCCAAGGCAAACCAGCCTTGAAACAAAGGGCTATGCTATCAGTCTCTGGCAGCTTAGGTGCTGAATTTGTGAATTTTGTTTGGCAAATATGGACCCATGTCACTATGGCAAGCAGTAGTGAGAGGGAGAGAGCTCACAAATCTATCAGTATGAGAAGGGTCACATTTTCTCTTTTCAAAGTACGCATATTCACATCCATTCACATTTAGAGTCTAAATCTGAAATGCAAAATACAACCAAGCCCTGGACTACTACAGCATCCCTTTTCCCACTTGCTGGTTACTGACATGACAGTTCGTTACAGGAGCCTGGTGTGCTTCCATATTCCTTTTTGCATTGCTTTCAAGATCACCCCTATTTAGACTTCATCCCTATACTGCTCTCACATGCAGACTCTGCATCCCACCAATTGGCCCCACCATGATCACTCACCAGCTCTCCCGCAGAGCATGGTTTCTCACATGCTGTCTCCGCATTCCGTAAGGTGTTCAGCTTTTTTCATTCCTTAAATATTTTCCCTTCCTTTCTCAAACAACTACCCCCAACGCTTATTTTTCAAAAGAGCATATACAATAATGTCCTGCTTTCTTCTGCATTAACACACTATGCTGCCACCCTAATGCTGGTTTTCTGGACAGGAAAACAAATTGCTGTTTTCGGGGACATCTCTCGTACAAAGGAATATCCCTGTTCTTCCAAAGGACCATGTAACACAACACTGTAGCATGTGTAACACTAACAGCTTTTTCACTTGTATGTCTACATTCTCCAGCCTGAGAGATGCCAAAGAAAGTGCAAGAAGTGTCTAGGCACCGCTTGCCCCTTGCCCCTAAAGTGATACTTGGGAAGCATGGAGCTGAGTCTGGGCTGCTGGAAGGGAAACTAAACAGTACATGCCAGTGCTAGGAGAGCCAAAGGGAGGTTGGAGGGGTAAGGACAGGGGATTGGTCTTGTGTTGGTCTGTCAGAGCAAGGTGCTCTGGTCTGGCTCATGTGGTTCCCAGCATCCAGCACCAGGGAAAGAAGAGACAAGAAACAGAAAAGAGAAGGCAGGAGCAAGACCTGGTGGGAAGGAACAGAACAGCACCTAAGAAAGATGGAGAGAGATGTTTTACCAGAGCCTGTAGTGACAGGACAAGGGGCACTGGTTTTAAACTGACAGAGGGTAGGTTTAGATCAAACTTGAAGAACGTTTTGGGGTTGGAACTAGATGATCTCTAAGGTCCCTTCCAAGCCAAACCATTCTATGATTCTAAGAAATTTTTTACAGTGAGGGTGGTGAGGCACTGGAACAGGCTGCCCAGAGAGGTGGTAGATGCCCCATCCCTGGAAATATTCAAGCTCAGGTTGGATGGGGCTCTGAGCAACCTGGTCTAGTGAAAGATATTTCTGCCCATGGCAGGGGGATTGGACGCAATGAGCTTTAAAGTTCCCTTCTGACCCAAACCATTCTGTGATGCTATGACTACAGGTACTTAGAGCTATGAGCATAGCTCTAACATGGCAAAGCTCAGCTACGCAGCAAACAGCAACAACATGCAGCATGTCATGAATACCATGACTGCCAACAGCCTCGTACAACATAACAGCACACAATACTTCAACAGTCCTAAGTACAGAGAAATGCCATTCTTAACAGTGAAACTCATTTTCTCTCTGAACTTTTTTTGTTCTGTGTATTTGTTCCCTGTTTTTTCATACAATCTTCTCCACAACCTCAGATAAACTTGGCCGTACAGGTTTCAACTGACAGCACATGCAGGAAATGTTACTCTAGGGCAGCCGAAGGAATGCATGGTCTACCACACAGCCGAGAACTGTGAAAGCACTTGAAGTTGCCAGATGCAGAACAATCTTTCCCTCGTACCTCCATCCAACTTATATTTTTCCACTTGAAACTTCTGCTCACTGTAAGCACACTTTGCCTTGCTACGTTTCCTCTCAAAACAAAAGGAAATTAATGTATTTTTCTTAGGCTGTGGCTGATCACTCTCTAGTGAGAGGTAAAGTGTGCTCCAAGCTGAGCAATCTGTCTCTTAAGGACGTGCATTGCCCATGCAAAAGGATCTGTCATCCTGCTTACTGGCCATGACTCAATGGTGCTCGTAAAACTGAGACTACAGGAGCAGATAGAAGTCATTAGAAAAGTGCCATTCTGCTCTCTCACACACACTGAACTCCCTCTTTGCCTCTGAGTTAAGCAATTCACAAAAATACTGTTTGCTTTCTTGCCATAGCAACGTTCTTTTCCGGTGATCAGTGCAACAGGTCCACAAATGGACGGTGTTTACCGAGTGTCACAACATGGGAGAGATATGTGGCAGCTCTTCGCTTTCAATGAAGCAAGAAACACGGTGACTTTTACCAATGCCTTTGACAACGTGTCACTTGGAAGAAAAGACCACACCTGTGACCAAATTTTGCAATTCCAGGAAATTAGTTTTCCATTTGTACTTTAAATCTGACTGAAAATTCATTTTTAAAGTAAAAAAACAAAAGGTGAAGAAGAAAGAAAACAAACTCCCCACACGTTCTGAAATCTGGCCACAAATAATATAATTAACAAACACAGAGAAGGCTGGAGAACACAATACTAAAAATACATAAAAACAAAAAAACAAAACAAACCCCCCCAAACACAACACCACCTGAAAAGGAAAGAAAGAAAATACAGGCAGTCAAGTGCCTCTTCTAAGTTTTAGGGAACAGTGAAAGCGAAGATGCCAGGACTGGCCCCCAAAGCGTTTAAAAGTAAACTGATGATTCTCAGCGTTACATGAATAGTTATGAAATGGGATGAAATGTCCTTCTGAGGGCCAGAAACAAGGACTGGGATTACATACGCAGACCTAATCACAAAGCTACAGAAAGCATGTACATAGTTTGGCACATCTACGCCTTCAGCAAAACACTTGTAGCTGAATATATGTAAAACCATTGGCAGGACTGGAAGCTAACAACTAGATGTTGTGGTGTAACAAACCGCACCCATCGAGCACCTGGATCCCTTCTGAATGCCGGTTACTCTTTTTTTCCTGCTTACCACAACTGGTTTCCTCTGAAGTTTGCAGCTTGGCCCAGACCATGGGTCTTGTCCCTGCTCCCAGCACTTTCATGCATTTTTCCATCAGATAGTGGATAAAAGGAAAGCTGGGGGGCCCAGCAAGGTATAATACATTGGTCACCGCGCTGCAGGAGGCAGCTGCCTCTCCCTTGGTGAACCCCAAGGCTCTTCCTCGTTGATGGTCCCTGCCTGGCCGTGGCGGGGGGAGCAACGATGCCCTCCCCAGACAGATCATCCAGGGCGAGGGTTTGCCTGCTCCTGCCAGGTTTTTCTGGGTGAAAAGAATTGAAACCTGGTGTCTCTCTTCCTGCCAGAGCGCGGTGACTGCCGGGCAGTTGTGCAAGGCTGGACAGTACCAAGCTGCCAGTGGTTTTAACAGGAGTGATCTAACCTGCCAGGCTTCGTGTTCTGATGCTGTCAGTGCGCGTCACTTTTGCCTGAGACATGACTAACACCGTGGGCTACTCTGCTGCCTGGGGAGTATCACTGCAGCCCAGAGTTTCTGATTGTATTGTTTAATTTAGATTTCAAACTAAGCATAAAAATGCACAGTCCATGTCCTTGCAGTCTGTGTACACCTCGATTAAAGCAGGAGCAGCAGTACATCATGTCTCCTGCTTGTCCGAGTCTGCAGTGGCATCCCTTGCAAGTCTAACCTCCTGTTCTTTGCTAAAACTACTCTCACATTTACTCTTTATCTCAGGTTGAACTAAGAATTTGGGCCCAAATCAAAGATTTTTTTAAAGCATTTGAACGTCAAAATATTTGGTCTGGGATCAACACACAACAGGGAGTGATTTTTTGTTCAGTCACTGAACCAGAAAATCACTTCTCAGAGTACCTGATTCCCCAGCCACACACCTACAGTAACAGACGGGGTACACACAGGAGCACAACTATGGTGAGAGTATTTATACAACCCTGAAATTTAAAAAGGGCCAATATTCTTACAATGAACGACATTACATCTAAGTTGAAGAAGCAAGCACTGTGGAGTGGGGGGGGAAAGTTGGGAAGCTGAAAACGGACAATCCAGACCCTGATCTGGTTACCTGGAATATCCAGAATCCGTATAACTCAGATTTACAGATTCAAGTACAGTCTGAATTCAGAGTAACAGGAACTCTGTAACAGCAGAACTTCAGGGAAAGGAATTTGGTGCTGTAACACTTATGTCCCAAGTGTACAGAGGTAAAACAGACCCGCAAAACAAAGCTCTTACATCCTGCAAGGGGCACTTCTTTACACAGCCACTGAGGTTAATTTTTAAAATCCAGGACAAACATCATAGCTTACTGTACTACAGGAAAAGTCACCGTCCTTCTATTTCATGCCAGTATTTTGATAGCCTTTGTACTATATTTGTAGCAGACATAACATGATGCCATATTTTATCAGCAGAAAAGCACCAAGAAAAACAAGGCAAAACCAGCCTCTGTGATGCCTCAGGAAACATTTTCTGTTTCAAGTTTTCCTAAGAAAGGGAAGGTTGTCTGTATCCAGGCTATGACAGATTTCAAAACCAGATCGTAAGAGGTCATTGCAGTTTACAATGAAAGGAAAGTGCTGTTAGTCATGCGAAGGGTGACCCCTGCGTCCCTGCCCAGCCCCAGGAGCACAAACCATGACTTACCAGTGGCTACTCCCCACAGCCGCTCTTCTTGGAATTGCAACATCTGGTATGTAAAACCCTTTCCTTCCTCACCGATGAGGTTTTTCCTGGGGACCTTTACGTCTTCAAAAAAGATCTGAGCTGTGTCCGATGACCTCATGCCCAGTTTGTCTATCTTTTTAGCAACATGAATGCCTGAAGGAAAAGGGGTATTAGGCCACAAAAACCAGAAGCACTATGTACAAGCCCAGCATTTTAAGAAAGCAAAGTTTGCAGATATGAAGGTATGTGCCAAGACTACAGTGAAACCTTCCTTTAGGAAAAAAATAAACAGTATTCTGGAATTTAAGAGTAAAATGGCCCACTTCCTATTTTAAAGTTTTTCCATTTTATTTAACTAGCAAATCAGAAACTGCAATTGCAAAGGTTCCACTTTTCATTATGTCCCCAAACAATAACTGTTTACTAGTAGCAATAATCTTACTTCATGCATGTCTTGAAACAATTCAATATTTATTTGCTTGTGTTTGATTGTTAGTGCACTATAATAAAATGCTGGAATTCAATTTAGCAGTATTTGCCAAGTGCCTGCACTGCTGTGAAACAGTAGAGAAATACTAAATAATGGCAAAAACAGAGCTATGTTTTAAGCTGCAAGTAGAGAATTTCTCCTCCTGGAAATCCTCTTCCTTCCCTGTCTTCCAAGTTTATCCTCCCCTTTCTAGCCTATCCTGATTTTTTTTGGTACCTATAGAAGAGAGTCTATAATCACACTACTTGCTTTTTTCCTAATAGCAAAAACTTGACTCAAATTCACAACTGCTACAAACATCCAACAATTCCATATCAACTCCAAATTTTGTTAAAACTATGTATTTTATAATTGCCTACAAAATATTGTTTAGTTCATCTAGGTAGTCATAGAAGGGTTCATAATGATCACAATTCATTCCTCTGTGTTTTAATGCGGACATGCTTGCGAAGAGGGTTTGCTTCCCTGCAGACCTCCCTACGCAGCGCTGACTCTGACCCCACGTGTAATGGGCTGCCGGAGATGAGCCCGGTTCCTCCAGGTCTGGCCACGCTCCTGTTGTTTGTTTTTTCATAGCTACAAGTTCTTTTTTGCCACTGTTCAGATGGAATCATGGCTTACCCCTGTGCCAGGAGAATTTAACAGACATCCACTGATCTTTCGTGGCAGTTTCCCTATCTTCAGTAACTACCTCCTTGTTGCTCTGGGGCTAATGCGAATATTTGGGATGGAAGGCAAGAATGTTTTGGAGGTAAACTGGGGTGAGCAAGGTTCCTTCCAATCCAAGCCACTCTATGATTCTGTGAGGAACCTGGTTTAGTGGAAGGTGTCCCTGCCCGTGGCAGGGGGGTTGAAACTAGATGATCTATAAGATCCCTTCCAATCCAAACCATACCTATGATTCTGTATGAGGATTTGTGCAAAACATGCTGATCACATCTGCCAAGTCAATATACGTAGAAGAACAGCCCTCCAAACCAGCATATATGTCTATGCAGAAAACAAAACATTTCACTACCCAGATACATGGTATTCTAATGAGTTGTGTGATGAGGGGGTATTCTGGCAATATTTTCCTCTTTATTCTATGTTTTTTTTGATTTCTCTACTACTCCGTAACACTGCTTAGTAGGAGTTGGTCACCACACAGAATGTTGTGGTCCCTCCCTGTACTTGTTTGTACCTTGCCATCCTTCATGGCTTTCAGTCAACATTTTTTTCTGAACTAATATAGACATCTCAACTTCTACTGACAGGACGCCTTCAGCCATGTGAAAATTATTTTGGTTTTACAGGCAGAAGCAGCTGGCCGTCATTCCCTTTAAACTCACTCTTTCTGGCTGCATTGAACAAGGTTATGGAAAGTTTCATTTCTCTGCCGAGATGAAATGCTGACACTATTTCCAAATGCCAAGACTGCTCTCAGAATAAGGTCCACATAGACTTCCACACCTTCCACTCAAGACTCTTCTCCAACAGCCAATCTGTAAACACATTATGTGTCAGGAATGCTTGCTTTGATATGTGTTCAGCACAGGAAGAAAATCAGGACAGCTGTATAAAAATTTTTGACTCTTGGACTGAAAATTATCCAGTAATTTGGACTCAGTCATGACAAAAAAGCATTTGTGGTTTGTTTCTGTATTAAAATCAGAGCTAAACAAATGCACATCGAACCATTTACAAGCCCAAATGATTTCTGGAACTTCTTTTCCCGTTGGAATATTACTGTTTGGTTTCTTTGAGAGTCTCAGAGATCATGTCTTCTGACTACTTCCAGCTGGTTTTATGCAATCACTGCTCTTCACTCATATGAAGATACACTGACTGCTCTTGTTAGTGGGTGGTTTACTAAGGACCCTGCTGGAAAAAAAGCAGCTACTGCCAGATCTTTATACTGCTAAATCAGTCCTCTTGTGTACTTCCCCAGATCCACATACAACAACTAGTGAAGCCAGCTCTTACAGGTTTGGTATGAGAAGCTAAATATGTTAATGATTGCTATCCACACTTCTTCCAGATATTGGGTTGTGTGTTCAAGTTTCCTGAATCCAGCAGCATCCCCTCTTTGTCGTGCCTTACCAGTTTCACTTGCTCTTTGATTAATTTATGTTTCTCATTCAGAAGGGGGCCAAACTGCACCAGCCTCAGGTAGTGCCCCCTCTATTGCTAGCACATGCTTTACATTTTTCCTTTTTTGAAGGCAATGATACATAATCATCTCTTTGGGTACAATATGGGCATCAAAATCTTCCTTTACTTAGTTTACTTATCTTCATTCTCTTCATAAGCGGTACTATATACTAAAATCTACCAGCAGCAGTAGAAATCATCTGCCCAGATAACTCCTGGAGTTTGTCTATATTAAATAAATCACAAGCCATCCAATCACACACAAATCTCAATCTAGTAAGGCCATGTGCCTGACTTACTAAAATCACTAACAGAGCCATTTGTGCTACTTGTACCAGTGTCACTGAGATGGATTGCTATGTCTCTTCCTGGGCAGTTCTTCCCAGGCGTATTTGATTTTTCATTTTCTCCCACTCCTCCAGCCTTCTGACAAGCTCTTTTATTTCCTGTATTCTATCTTTAGCAAAAAGCAGTCGCTCTCTCCTGACACCATTTAGTGCTATTACAAATGGGAAGAGGCACATTTTAAATTGCAGCCTGAGAAACATGCTCTTTCCCCTTTCCTGGATGCTCTTCTCTTTATTATCTCCTCCTTGCAATCTACCCTGCTGCTATCTGAGGACTCAGAGGACAAACCAGTGTGCAAATAGTTACCAGATTAGGGCTGCAAGCCATTTGTCTGTATATCTTGCACACAGATGTTTTATGACTTGTTATATTCTCTTTCATCATACCAGAAATTCAGTGCTTTTTTTTTTTAAGACATCATTAGTATGACGAGTATTCACCAAATTTGGTTATCTACTGTAAGTCCAGACTGCCATTATCCAAATTCCCTTTATGAGGAATGTACTCAGCAGCGTCTGTCAAATCTAGACCATGATTTGATTCACCCCAGAACAGACACTGTATACACCTAAAATCAGAAGCAGCAAATCCTAATTCATATCTCCAATAAACTACCAGTTGTTGAAGTTAACAACCCACTTTCAGACTTGGAACTTCTTTTCTTTTTATCATCACATTATACAAGTACAAAACAATTAAGATTTTAATGAAAAATGCTGGACTAGCCTCCCATGTCCTTCCAGCTGCCAGCAAGGAACGAGTTATCGCTGCACCACGGATCCCTTCCTTACGCTGCCATATAGGCTGGTGACTGCAGCAGTTAGTCAGACACAACACACTCATTCTCTGTTGCACGTTCTTGAGCTTTGACACACGTACATCTACAGATGCTTGATAGTGCATCACTCTGCGATGTCCTCCAGACACTTCCCGTACAGTCTTGGTCTGCTGCCCTTCAAGGAGTGCAATCTCTGGCAGACAGACATCCTTAGGATGTACCAAAACAGCTGGAGCTTCCTCCTCACATCTGTGTCAAATGGCAGCCTTTTCATACTTTTCCTCTTTGTCTTCCTGAAAAATCTCACTTCTGACACGACCCACCCACTGAGCACAATCAACCACCTTAATACTTTATTTCAAAAGGTCTCCAATCTTGGTATAGTGACCTTTTCGGAGGTTGATATCTGTATCGCACAGAAGAATGAAAGCATACACACTTTGAGGAGAGCAATTTCTGTTTCTAGGAAGACTGATGTATCTCTGCACATCAGTTTCAGGTGACTCAGGCAATTTTTCTACTCAAAATCTATTTACAACAGGTAAAGCAGGTCTGTATGGCCTAACAACACCGCTCCATGAAGCTACAATGACTCACATGTCTTTTTGGAATAAGCAAAGTAGCTGAAACCCTCCCAGTTAATTTCTGTATATTTGATCTGCCTCTAACAGTGGGTTGGCTGCTTTGCTGGTTTTGGAAAACTGACCTCAGAGAAGCAGTATTGCATTTGTGCTCTGACCCTTTCATAAAAAATCACAAGGACGACTTCATGCAGATGGCTGGTAAGTGAGTTCACCTGGAAATTCAGGGAGATTCTGGCTCTGAGTTACATGTTCGCTCATCACTTATCAGTAAGGACTAAGCCAACAACTAACAAAGCAGCTCAGGTCCATCTGCTGTGAGCTCCCATGCAAAACCTGTCTTGCATGAGCAGAGGTTGTAGGGACTCACAACGCACTCGGAACTTGTTTCATTCCCAAGGCAACTCACTTACTTGCCTTACTCCATACTGAAATTCACTCACAGCACATTCCCTTAAGTAGTTCTCATCACCCTCTTTTGCAACATTGGAGACCTGGATTTTGTTCGCAGTCTGATCCATTAAGTGAACATACAGATCTTCACTGCCATGGTGGTGTCCCTACTCATGAAATGCTGACAATGACATATATATTGTATATAAAATACTCTGAATTGAATGAACAAAAATGCCATCAGTTTTAGTATTTCATATTAATATATATGTTAATATACATTGTTACATATTCAATAGATATTCTATATTTTAAATGTGTTAAAATATGATACATTCAAGGAATTTATATATTACATAACTTTTAAAACATTGAGTGAAAACCAAAAAGGTGTAAAAACTTTTGAACAGATGTTAAAACTGTTCAAAATTATTTTTGAATATGAAGAAAATACACTGCAAAAGGTCCCTGTCAACATAGCCTTAACTCTGTCCTCTCTGAATGATGTCCTTTACGCATACAGCACATCTTTCCTGCAAGGTCTGCAGACTACTCAGGAACAGACATCGTGTGGACTGTACCACTGAAACTTGTACCCATACACACCAAGTTTGAAATCTCTAAACTCCTTATCCTTGCATTTTCACATGTTTGAGAATCACTTTCAATGTTTTCTGAAGAAATAAGACAGTCATCTTCATTCATTGAAAAAAGAAATATATATTCTGTTCATCAGTTGTAGTACAAAAACAGGAAAGAGCTGAATGCTATTTCAGACAGATAATTTAAGAACTTCTTACATGTAATTCATATGTAGCAAAGATCTATGTAAATAGCATAATATGTTATTTATTTTGTGGACTATTTGTCTCTTCAAGCCTTTTGGGGGCCGAAAACCAAGATAGAAGTTTTCTGGAACTTCTACAAAACTAAAAGACACTGGATGTTACAAATTTTTAAAAAAATTTTGGCTCTATTTTTAATGATTTCTTTGAGGAATTAATTTTGTCCTTGGCATTGACTTGTCTATTCATTCTCACGGAAAGTTATGAAATATTCCCACACAAATGCATCTGAAAAAGGACTCTCCGTATAAAATTATTTGGGAGCCACAAGCTGAAGTCTGCAAAATATTTAACTTCCTTCTTGTTTCCTCCCGTCCCCTACTTTTTTGTGGAAGCGTGCAAGTGCATTTCAGAACCAACTTTATGACAGTGAAACACTTAACTTAGAAGAGCATTTATGAGTGTAGTCCTTTTTGTCAAACATCTTTCCTTCTTCTACTGTGCATACACAAACCCACCAATAAAATCAAATTAGAAGAGAAAGAGTTCTGTGTTATTACCAGGTAGATTCATTGGCAGACATATGAGAGACTTATTTCGATGGGGAGGTCCTTCACTGGTGTTTGCCAGCAGGCACATCCAGTCTGCTTGGCACCCGGACGTAGTCCACATCTTACCACCATTTATGACATACTCATCGCCTTTTCTCACAGCTGTTGTCTTGATACCTATTTCGAAACACAGGAAAGCAAGGGTTATTCTCGTGAAGGATGGATAAGCTGGTCCCTGTACAACTGGCAGGGTCACTCCCTTGCTTTCAGACAGTCAACTAACACTTGGTTTTCCCTTCATACCCCCCAAGTCCTCTGACCCTTCCAGGCTGCACAAGGCCAACCCATACGGACAACTCTTGGAAAGCAAGCCAGGGCAACCAGACCACTTCTCTCACCCTCCTTTAGGTGGAGTCTTTATCCCTGTGGATGAAAGCAGAAAATTTTCCCAAAGTAAATCCAGTCATCAAAAACTCAGGCCAGAAACATTTCCGTCTGCTGCGATCTGTTATATGTTTCTGTGACTGCATGTTAGTCACTGAGGAGGCCATTAATTTCAGAGTCCTGACTTAAACAAACATAAGCCTCAATATCTGTGTATGCATAAAGATATACATACACGCACTTCCTGCATGTTCTTGGTCAGAATGGCGTAATAAATTCAAAATTAGTACACTTTCAAAAGGCCAAGTCTAAATGCTAAGAATGTCTGTACATGAAGGGGTTCTAAACACCCGCTATTCATATCTCCGGGAAAAAACAATTTTATTTTCATCCATGAGTGTTCACATCACCCTGCAAGCAGCCCTAGCTAGCTGTCACAGACAGCTGGAGTGAATCATTAGTTATTATTTACACTCCAGCAGAGTTTCCAAAGAGCTGGCTTCTTCCCCCTGCAACTGAACTTCTTCAGCTAAAACCCCAACTGAGGAAGACTCTCCAACGGATATCTAGCTGTAAGTAGGTGACGGTATAAAAGAACCCTACACTGCACCCCTATGAGCACCTGTAAATCCAATGAGACTACAAAGTCCATAAGAGCCCACCTACTGAGGAGAGCAGTAGACTTGGAGGGTAGGAGTCACAGACACCAAGTAGGGTGGGCAGGCACATTTAAGTCAGCTGGTTATACCTTCATACACAGCCACCTCAGTCTGCACATGAGCCATCTTCCCAACAGCTCTGAACATAAACCAAAGCAAAACCAAGCATCTGATCTTCATTTACAAGATAAATTGGGACTGAGGTCAGCACGGCTGAAAAGAAGTCTTGCCAGTGAAGGAACTGGGGAAAAATGATGGGACAAAATTGTATAAAGTACAGGACAAGTGAATATCGGATACAGCAATGCTTGAAGGAACTTACAAGCAGATAATGAAGAACAGCAAGGGAAAGACATAATAGTAATGTGGATAAAAACAGTATCCACATAGCTATTCAGTCAATGAAAGGACTATGCCAAATCTGTCCAAGGCACTTGATATGAAATCTGTATAATAATGAAGGCTAACAAACTGAAGGAATCTAAAGTACTAATGCTCATATTACATGGACACAGACACTGGACAATCATATACATGGAGACTAAATAATAAATGAAGGACACATAAGAGCCAGAATATGAAATATGACACTGAACTGAAGCAGTGTGAAAAGGATGGGAGCAGATACAGTGATTTACATCACACATCCCTTTGTTGTGAAACAGCTCCTGAAAAGATTAGATAGAGGTCCCATGGAAGGTCTGCAGAGGAACAATGAGCACTGTGATGTTATCACAAACGTAAACAGTTCTTGCAAGCATGGCGTCACAGGGGACTAACCACCCAAATAGAGATTAAAGAACAAATGCCTTACTAATGGGAATGTTCAAGTACTCCCAGATGTGATGGTTGACAGTTTGCTTCAAACACTTGAAAAACGACTATTTAAAATCAACTTACAAAGAGTTGATTCACTTTAATTAGAAGAAAGATGATCAAGTCAATAAGTTTTATGTTTAAAATACAGCAGGCTTTGAAAACCTACTTAACAATTTACTAAAGGCAAGTGGACTGTCTTACGCATATGGCTATGAAGATAATTGGGAATATCTGACTGTAATTATTCTTCCTGATACAGTGTAGTTCTGGGAAAAGGCTACTTCAGTGGGTGCTCCATGACTTATTTTTGGCAGGTCCACTCCACTAGCCCTGTAGTGCCTATAACTCAACAAGTTACAGAGCATGCTGTGAGGGCCCCTGCTAGGAAAGACCACAAGGCATATGATACAACTAGTGCCACATAAGCAACTAGGGCTGGTCCCTTCGTCATTCAAATCTCAACATACTTGAGCCTCAAGTTTTCTTCTCCATTGTGCTCTTCAGTTCAGACATGCATTAAAATAGATTTGACAAAAAGCAAGGTTGGCTTCAACTTTTAAGGTCAACATTACGATCAAAGATAGGCAATGCATATCCTAAAAATAAAAAATGAAGAACATATATCTGGAATTTACATCGTCAACACAGGAAAAAAAAACAGCAAACTTGCACAAAATAGCTTCAAGTCTAACTGAATGAATAATCACTTCAAAAAACAGGAGATGGCCTACAGGAAATGAGAGAGATTAATCATCAAAGTGAGCTACAGTTTGGAGGTCAGAAAGAAAGAACTGCCACAGATCAAACTATGTTAAATCTTGCAAATGAAACCAAACAAAACTGAAGAAGACTGAGCCGGCAAACAAAAATGTTTCAGCAACAGAAATGAAAAAAGAATGGGAAAAAGAGTCAGGCATATAGAGGATGCCTCAAAACTAAAGAAATATTTCACATGAGTTTACAAAAAGTTTCACAATATAGCTGACAAAGTAAGAAATCTTCAGGAAGGACTGTACAGAAATTAAAAAATAGTGAAAAGAGAGGTTGTTGGTTTTAGCAATCTGCACAGCCTCAGAATACATTTGGAGAGAAAAGACAATTCAGTTTACCAGTAGTATCTTATTCAAAACCAACCTGATTAGTTTATTATGAAAATAGATTTTCTAGAGGAAAGCAGAACAGAAAAAATCCTGTTAGACCCAAGCAAATTCAAATTGGTGCTACTAGGTAACTATGACTTAAAATTTTGAAAACGTAAGAATTAGGACAAAACTGGAAATGTGGACAAGGAATTCGGCAAAGGGGAAATTGCATCACGTTGCATTAAAAGAGGAAGTGCTGATGTGCAGGGTTGGTACTATTGCAGCTCCCCCTTGGATATCAGCCTTCGGACAAAACCTATTGAGTATCTCCACTAGTGATCTTTAGAAGAAGGATAGAAATACACTCATGAAATTTACTGGTGACACAAACTTGGGAGACGTCACCAACACAGACAACTGAGGTATCGCCCAGCAAGAAAGGAATGATCTTGAGTTTTCAAATTCAACATGGCAAGTACAAGTACTTAGGTGCAAAGTAATAAGAATGGTTACTGTGTCTTACAATTTTTGAACAGCAAACCACTAATGAAGATGATCTGCATAGTTAATTACAAGATTCATAAGCCAGCAAACTGTTGTGTAACATTACATATCAGAAGGTAGTATTTCTAATAGGGTCAGAGAAGCATTTGTGCCATTATAGACACCATGTGCAGTTTTGGTTTTTCATGCTTAAAAAAGATGACCTAAACCCAGAAAACCAGAAAGACAGGATTCCACCGAGACAAAATGGGGCAAAACATCTATTTTGAAGAGGTAGATATGAACAGGGTTACGTGATGCAGTTGCCTGGAAGACATAACTCGAAGAAAGAGCAAATGTCTTCCGTGATGTGTTCCTACATATTCCTCCCAGACTACCAGCAGAACACTACATAAATTGCAGAATAGTATTGAGATAGAATGAGAAAAAAACATTAAAAACCAACACAAATGTGTATGCTTTGTGGTACCAAGAATCCTGAAATTAAAGAAAGATGCTTTCTATACCAACTGTTCTGTACTGTTCTGCTTCTCAAGTCATCTCTGTGCACATGGTCAATACTATGTACAATATAGAACAACTACGTTTGAAAGCAGACAGGTGCTCCTTCAAATTGGCTTGAAATTTATATTAGACTAATATACACAGTTCTTTTTGTTCTGTTGAATTTTGATTAAATTAATTCCAGGCACTTTTAACTTCTCATGTAGAGAAACAGTTTTTTCCTTCTGTGTTCGCAACACCTTCAGCAATTTTGGAACTGGCAGAAGAAAATACCAGAGATACCTTACTCTGTGTCATTCTTCAGTTTATTATATACACCAGCTCAAACAGCAGAAGCATGTCCCCAACCTTCACATGTGAATAGTTGCTATGCTTTACTAACCCTGCACGTATCTAAGGGAGACAAACATCCCAACAATATGAGAAACCAAAAAAAGTATTAAGTGCAGTTTCACATAGTTCAGTCTACTTTCAAGCTGGGCCACCTGGAGATAATATGTTCTCTCTGCCTCATGCAAACCAGTGCTACTCAGAACATAAGCTAATGCTGTTCATGTCTACATTGTCCATTTAATTACCCTTTAGAAGCATTGTAAGCTGGTTTCTACATTTACACCAGGGATCAGATCTTCCATGAAAGGTGAAAAAGTATCATCATTTCATCCTGCAGTCTGCCCACCAGCTGCCATCTGGGTTAATCAGATCATTCTAGTCGATTCCAAATTTCTCTTTAACTTTATTAATCCAAGAGTATCATAACCATTAAACTAGACAATAATCAACATGCAGCTAAAAGTACGTTTATGTTGCTTATTATCTGGAACACTGCATCAAAAAATGAAAATCATATTTTGAAAGTTCTGATAATCATCTAATTAAACTAGAGGCATTAGTTAAAATAAATGATGTTTTATTTCCCACTTTATCAAAATTCAAATTTCAAATTATTTTAATGAAAACTCTATAAAAATTATGGATTTTTTCTTACAAACAAAATAAATTAACTAGAAAGAAAAACAGCAATGGATCATGCCGGAAGATTTCGTCCCATAATTTCATCATCCCCATTAACTCTCCTGAAAACTACCAGCTGCACCCTGGTTCTAACACTGAATAATTATCTATTTGTCTTGAGAAAACAACACGAGTTTGGTCAGGGAGATGGACATAGGACTCTGCTGATCAAAAAGCGTCAAACTCGGCGATTTTGTCTGCAGGGAGACTTTGTCTCAGTAATGTGTTAGAGCACAATGTGCTCAACTTAGCCATCCTGAGTGCAACAACAAAACCTCTAAAAGTGGTTTCTTGTCACTCCATTTTCTTTGCAGTCCACAATTCACAGTCAGATGAGGTATCTTTTACTTTTTCTACAGTATCTGTTTTAATTTAATTGTTCAAACTACCTACTGCCTCAGGCACTTCAGAACAATAGCTTCATTTGTCCATGTTTTTAAACATATTCTTGCACTAAGCCAAGAAAAACAGTTGCATGCAAAGTAACTAAATCACAAAGATAATAGATTTGACATGGCCAGTTCTTCATTAGCTCTAAATAAAACAATCACCAGTTCAGAAACATTTTTGCTGAACAGGAATGACAGAAGGGGCTGAGGTGAGACGAGAGGAACCCACCGTGAAAGGGATGCCATCATTTTCAGAATGGACTAGCTCTGCAGTTTGCTGGTGTTCAGTGGAGAGGTCTGTTTCAAGAAAGTGCAAGTTGAATGGGCCACACACCCCATCACGTACACCTGCAGGTTTGCACAACTGATGGTGGCTGTGCAACTACAGCGGCGAGCTCAGACAGAACACGGGAGGCAGCAGCAGGAGAGGTGGACAAACTCTAGGAGAAATCCATGGCCAGCATGACAGCTGCATATTAATCTGTTGTGCTCAGCCCATAATGGGTTATAGATATTGATTCACTGACAAATGCATTCAATCTGATTGCTTTTGGATGCATCAGAGGCATGCAGTGCTGCTCCTGGAATATTACTTTTTGCCCTCACCACAACAGATTTTCCTTCCTTTGTATTTATTAAAAATGATAGCAGCAAAGGGAAGGGTCAGGGAAAGCAGATTCTTTCCATTAAAATATCAGGCTGTCTAAAATTGGCAATTTGCTAGGTTAACTTACTTGCGACATCTGACCCAGCTCCAGCTTCACTGACTCCCAAGCAAGCCACAAAATCTCCAGCTATAGTTGGTGCAAGAAACTGTTTTTTCAACTCATCAGAACCAAACCTGCAACAACAGAATGAAAAAGATAGGATATTAAAGGCTTTTGAAGGTAAACTTTATTTACAAGTTAGTTACAAATTTTGTTCTACCCAGAGAGTGATCAATTTTCGTATGACTAGGTAAAACCTGTCCCAGAGCCAAAAGACAGAATAGATACCCTCCAAAGCTATGATTCAGAGCCTTCACAGGAAGCACAGCCACAATCATTTTAAACAAGGCTTTCACAAGAATTCAGGCATCTTTCTCCCACAGAAATGTGTGGTCTAGATGCCCAAAATCTGATCTTTATGACTGTTGTTTTGTTTTGTTGTTTTGAACATAGTCCCTGGGGTTTCCCCTCAGTGCTCCTGCACCAGTCTGCAGTCAGCCAGGATGAAGGACTTGCTTTCTGCCTGTCTTCTGACTTCTGCACCAGCTCTTTGCCATGTTTTAGTGGTAGTTGAAAAGTTATGACATGTGATGGCCACCCTCTGCAAATATCTGTGTTTACAACATTAATACTTCACATCTGTAGTTAAATCACACAGTGAAATCCATTAGTGCCTCTTCCCAGATGTTCTTTTAGTCCCCACAAAAACAAAAAGGCCAACAGCAAACTGTTGACGGCATTTTAACACAAAAAATTCACTTAGCCATATTTCAATTCAGCTAAGAAGCACCCTCTTTTTTTCCAGCCTTTAGCTGCTTTCATTGATTCAAAACACGGTCCATCTCATTTCACGGTTGATTTTGTCCTAACTAACATTCACTGATTTGGTCTTGCAGCGTGAACAGTGAGCTCATGGTTTAGTTCCTGAACCTCTCTTGTGCTAGATGGAAAAAATCCTCGGGTCATGTCTCTTCTGTGAGCAGAAATCCCTAAAAGCCAGGTTCCTCCTCAGCCTCCTCTTCAGTGTGAGGTGTCCCAGGTCAGTGCCTCCACTCATCTCCCTGGGCTGGCTGTCTGCCTAAGCATGCTGCAGTTACCTGGGCCCTCCTTCAGAAACACTGCCCCAGCACTCCCAAAGGAGCGATCCCGTTTCAGCTAAGACTCTGACCCTTCCCCTCCACTCCAGCCTGGACACAGAACAGCCAAAGGACACGGGACAGCCAGGGAATGGGCTGGGAGCTGGCAGACACTTGCCCTTTGTGCACACAAGGAGCTCAATTCCTAGTCCTATCCCTGCTGATAATCACGGCAGCAATCCCAAATAAATACAACATGCGAGCTTGGAGTGTTTACTCCTCCCTCCAGCACACTGGGACAATGTCCCCTGGTCTGCTACACAGTCTACTTTTTTTTTTTTCTTGCCCTTAGGCCATGATCAAGTACAGCCAGCTGAACATTCATCAGACAAAAACAACCCCAACCAACAACATGAAAAAACAGATTATGAGAGGAGCTAGCAGGCATTTTTGGCAATGCTTTCTGATGCTTAAAACTTTGCCAACCTTTAGTTATTTAAACAGAGGATTTCCATGACAGGAACTTTTCTCAGAATAATGTTTTTGGTTTGATATCTTTGTTTAGTTTAAGTTCCAGAAAATAGTTCAGCTCTTCCCAAAAATGAAGCTACAGAACAAATTATTTTGCAATACAAAAAAAAAAATCTAGCAACACTATCTTCAGAAGATCATGGATCTCTATGCCTTGCAAGAAGGACATGTAGCTCAGCAAGTGGCCAGCTATTGTGTTAGAAATATTTTGTTTCTGTAAAATTCTACCGATCTTAAACGCATCGCAGAAAAACCTCAGGTTTGCATAAATGCAATACCCACTTCTTTCCAGTTTAGCAGCTCCAGAATTAGAAAACTCTGTTTGCAATGAGATCATGCTCTAGGTCAAGACAGAGCAGACTATGTCTGCTTTCTGGGCCGGGGCCATACCCCAGAGCATAGTTTCCCATGTGATTAACTATGCAGCCTTACCATCACTCTAAAATGTATTTTCAGGCATGTGTGTATGTATACACACACACGCACGCACACACACACACACACACACGAGTCTACAGTCAATAAACCGGAGCTCTTTGTTGATGCTGGGTAACCCAGAAGGCCCAAGTGTGAGATTCTGACATGTTCAGAGTTGCATGAAAGTGGTCCATCCTTTCCTGTCCACACTTTATAAGTAACATTGGTGGAATGTCACGAATACAAACACAAAAATGACAATACTATCTTGTAAATGGTGGGTAGAAGAAAAATAAAACCATGACAAATTACAGATGTAAGAACACTTCCTTGATCCACATAGTTCTGTTTATGTGCTCTGCCAATTAGAAATTTGAAGTCACCTTTATTCATCTCAAATATATATGAAAATCTGGTTTCTGACAGGTTAGATTGCTACATTGAATGAAAGTGTGTCTAGTGTACATCACTACTCTGACTTAATTGGGCTGATAATCATCTCAGCAGAACCGCAGACCTTACTCACTTTTGTTTCTTCTGCTTCTGGGCAAAAAAGCTAAGCTGAAGTGAATTAATTAAATTAGCAAGGAAAGTTTTGAGAAGAACTGACAGATACACTAGTATGATACATTATTAAGTGTAAATTGAAATTCTAAATATGAACAGCTGCAGCCAGTTGTAACATGGCTCTTAGAATTTGATCAACTCAAGTTTTCTTGCACTGGAGCTGACACATTTGAGGACTACTCGCCACCAAAGCAAAAATAAAGAAAAAAAAAAAAGAAAAGTTTTCAGATGATCTATGCATTATTTTACAGTATCTCAAAGATGACGCAACAGTTTACTCATGGACTTCCTGGGAATATAGAGAAGATTTCCTTTAGGCAAGAAAAAAAAAGCGTAACTCTGACCTACTGTCACTTTCCTTCTTACACACTAGCAAAAGGCGAATTTGTCCCAGTTCTCCTTCTGTTCTGCTCCTAGACTCAAACTATTAATGATGCAGTTGCCATGTGCCACACTTTTGCTTCAGTGTAGTCCTGCTCAGGCATCCTACTGTCACATGTCCAGGTCCAGCTTACAAGTACTCCTTGGATCTTCAAGACACAGGAAAAGAAGAAAGAAAAACAAAAGGGAAGAGATGGCCTTTACAGTCACAGAAAGGGTTAGAAACGCGTGGTGAACAGCAGCGGGCACCCTTGGGCAGCATGGAAGCCTCATTAAGTTCGGTAATTTACCTAACCTGGATTTAAAAGAAACCACACTGCAGTCAGCTTTCTCTCTTTGAGTCCCTACTTCAGTGAAGATAAGAAGACACGTGAGTTTTAAAAAAAAACCCTGCATTTAGAAAAACTTTTTTACTTTTTGTGAAAGATGGCACAAGAAAAAAAGCAATAAGAAAAATGCTCTGGCTTCGTTTTTATCAAGCCTTTACGCTTCAGTTATTTGAAGATTTTATGAAATAAATTGCTCAGTTTGAGCTAGGGCTATGTTCTGAAGAGAATACAGATGAGAAGCCTGTATGAGACTACCCAATGGGTATGACCACCTCATGCAGATGAGACTATCTGAAGAGTTTTGGTTAAGAACAATTACATCAATCTTCTGTTTATTTAGAATGCATTTTGCACTAAAATGCAGGTATTGGAAAAGAGGAGTCATATTAAAGATTACCCTCTTCAGACCATGCAGTTTTTCAGAGCTACTCATGTGGCTGGTGTCCTGCTGCTACCACACCAGCTCTGAGGACCTCAAGACTGCCCACCAGACAACCTGCCACCACAGCATGGCCAGGCTGTCACCAGAAGCTGGAGAAACCTCAAAGATACAGAGGTACAGGAACACTGTGAAGCTGTTCTGAGGAAATGTAGTTCACAAGCAGCTGCTTGACTTCATATTGCCCCACCGTATTGCTCTGGCCAGGTTAGAACCTCACAGGTATTCAGAACCACAAAGCAGCACAACTGGCTATGGATGCAACACAACTAGCCATCATGACAGCAATGCCTAATGATACTTTTTTTGATGATATGTTGAAAACTGCACCTGTAACAATCTCTGCTCTGGCTCAGGGCAAGGCCTGGACTACCTTACAAACACTAGACAAATTAAATACAAACGGGAGAGTGAGACAGCTCAGTATGTCTGTTCTTGAAGAAGCACAAACCCAAGCTTCCCTTAGACTATGCCAGTGGGAAAGCCACTCTGCTCTTCAATGATCTCTTCCTATTTTCACCTTTTTCCCAGCTGATCAAGGGGATGATCCTGCTTTTCAAAACTGCTGTTCTGATTGTCAGCTGCAGCCTCTCTCCTTTACAGCAAACAGGAAAAGAGACAGTAAACCTGACTTTTTGGGTATTAATTCTCAGGTATGCTGCTGTTCAGGGTGGAGGAAGGATCAGTGATGAGTAAGCTGATGAAATAGAAAAGTGCTCTCTTCCCACTAATGATAATCATCATTATCCTTACTGTTTTCCTACAAATAGTGTGTGTGGGGGGGGGGGGGGGGAGCAGAGAAGAAAAGAAAGTTTACTGCCTAGATGAAGTAGCTTTACACTGATCTGGTATCACTACAGATGTGTCACCCTACAGGTTTGTTTACAAGCCCAGGGAAACGTATCTCATTCACTGCCTCAGCTGAGAGCTGCTTTCTCTGCTCTACTTGTAAGCCTGAAAGCAAGTGAAGTAGTATATCTGCATGCATTTGAAAGATCTGACAGAGAGTTATGTTCAGAACCAGGTACATCAAAGGTCAGATCACTGCTGACAAAACATTTTTCGTTTCGTTCTCAAATTTGAAGTGCTACTGCTTCACTTAACAGAATCTGGGGAAAAAAAATGGAGTAGTCTTGGCATCTTCAGGTGAAACAGAACTATTTTCTCCTATATTTGTCTGCACAATAGAAGTGCATATAAATCAAAATCTGGAGGATTGCTTCCAAGTATGACCATGCACATAACTTTTTGAAGATTGTCAAAAAAAAATCATAAATAATGAAGTTAAAAGGGGCAGAAATACTGAACAAGCAAACAGATACAGGTAACATTTTCAAAATATATTGTATGTATAATTAAAACTGTTACTACAATGTACTTCACATTTAACTGAATATCTCAAAGACCTTCACGAAATAAGCCTCGCAACAGCTTGTCGCTGAACCAAGAAACCCATGGAAGCAGCTGAAACAGCATCAGGAGGCATACTGACTCTAAATCTTTTAAGACTTTATTTTTCCAAAGTATGAAAATTTTTAAAAGCTGTGTTTGTGTGTGTGCATATGTGCACCCATCTGTTCAAACTACTGCACTGTCTATATATCTAATTGAGGAAACATCTCTAATTTCTAGTGGCACAGCATCTTCATGAGATACCACATTCACTGAGTTTGTTCACGGGTGCAGTAAATAAATGCTTGATAAATGCTGGATAAAGCCCAAAGTTAGGAAAGCCAACAATGGGCTCCAGACTTATTAAGAGTTATTTAGGGGATGATAGTTGATTCCCATATTACTGTTTAGTTTGTGCACTGCTCACATATCATGTGTAACAATGATATGTTAATATGCAAAATTTGGATTATCTGTTTGAATTTGTATAGGTTCACCACAGTACACAGATACCTTCAAAGAAACCATCCAGGTTGTGAATACAATTTGAATCCATGACCCAGGACAAGCATTTAGGCCTCTTACTATACTGCAGGAAGAAAAGCTGCACCTGTGCAAAATTTCCTGTAGCAACCAGATTTCTCATTTCATTATCAAGTTTCACTTTTACATGTTCAGAGTGGGACACTGCACTGTATTACTAGTCAGTGGAATTGACTTAACAGTGGAGGAAAGTTCGCTAACAGAGATGCAAATTCAATTACAGATTTTATCACGTTAATGACATTTTCGCATTCACTTTCCAAGAATATCCACTTTAGGATTTCACTGGCACAAATGTATGAAGCGTCACTGCTTTACTACAGCAGAACAGAGTAACAGAAGGCCAAAAAGCTGCAATGGAACAAAATCCCATCTTCTTTTACCCACAGATTTTTTTAAACCCCTGGGAATAAAAGGCTATCATGGGGGCAAGGTACTGTTCTCTGAAGTCTTTTAAAACACCAGTTTTATTCTCAACTGGACTGTAACTAAGCTACTGTTGCAACAGAGATGCTGAACTTCATGCTTTCAGCAAGCTTTTGGTATATTACATAAAGGAGAAGAAAACTCATAGAAAGATTTCCCATGGCTGAGACCTCCGAAGTCACACCTACCTAGCAGAAAAACACACGGATGTCAAGAGAACAGAGCTTACATTGCAGACTCTGCAGTGGATTTACAGGCATTCTCACTCAGAATGGGGAAAAAAACCCCACACCGACATACAACCCAACCCTAAAAAGCTCTTCTGTGCAAAAATTCCCCTCTTGTATATCTGCTTTGTGCAGAGAAATTCCTGACTTCATCATCATTATTTGAATTTATTTCCCACCACCTCCTTCCAGAATTTTAGGCATATCCACATGCCAGGGGCAAACTGCTGGACTAGCCTGTCGCCTCCCTCTAGTTTTGCAAACTGCTGTTTTGATGCAGAATGTCTGTGAAACTACTACATAAAGAAGTTGGTAACTGCCACTTTTATTGAGGGAGGGAAAAAAACCCCAAACCGAAACAGATTCAGAAAGGAATGCATTCATCATTCATTCAGGAGCCTGAATGATAGCAAGTGATAAAAGAGGAACACTGACACAAGCAGATAAGAAAAAGCAAAATGAGTAATTGCCTGGAATGGGTGTATTTAGGAAGTATGATAGATGTGCTACCACTTTAGGACTTACATAAATATTGATCATTATTTCTGAAAAGTCAGTGAGGAGCGCCTCGTAAAGCTGGAAAAAAGCAAGTAAATTATAAAATAGAATGGGACTGATCCTAATCATCACAACTAAATACTTCCTCAGTATGCCTGCACTGGCATATCCGGCTAAGAAAAAACACAAACATGAATCGGGGGATTCTTGAATGAAAATTGTTTTATCAGTTGTAGGACCAAGGTTCTGTGTTTGTAAACACATTATCTACTATTAAACAAGGCCTACGTTTTAATAGATAATATTCTAACATTAAAAAAAACAAACTTATTTTTCTCCCCTAAACCAAACTGCCTGAGAGAGATAGAGAGTAGGTTCCTTCCTCAAGTATCACAGAAGAGCAATTAGACAGTAAAACTGCACAGTAATGTTTTTTCCTACTCTTACACAGATTGAGTTTTAGGCCTAAACACATGACAATTTGGGTTTTTAGGCTAATCTAAACTTTCTGAAAATTACCTTGTAAGAGCAGGAGTAGCCATGCCAGCTTGCACTCCAATAGCCATAGGAACACCTCCACAGCGGATATTTCCCAGCTCTTCTGCCACTGCAATGCTATAGGAGAAGTCCAAGCCCATGCCGCCATATTCTGAGGAAAAAACAAATCTATGACACTCATGTTCCTGACTGGCATAAGCAACAAGAAAAAGAAATATTGCTGCTGCAAGGACTTGCCAACTGCAATTTCACTGCTAATTTTAAATATTTGACAATTATCAGCTTTTCTTTCAGAAAAATGATGCTACGATTCTCTATACAAAACCTAAATTTGAAATTGCACCTGCTCTAATTATCCAGGTGCACATCAGGTCACCTCTGAATATCCCAAGTAGTTTCCTTTTGCTGGAAACAGCAGGAAAAAGTGACGTGCTGCTGAAAATCACATCAGAAGGCAAAATTATTCTAACAGCAAGGTCACATGAACAAATCACCACAAGGTAAGAAGCGCTTTTATTTCTCCATGATAACCCCTGACACCCACTCTCACCCCCCACCGCACTCCAGCAGAGCTTATCTTCCTCATGCCCAGCAGTCAAGCCAGCACAGAGCAAGACCACATGCAGGCTGTGTCCCTATGCTAATTTACTGCCATAGCTCAAAATCCACGTCAGACACAAGTACAATACTGAACACGCATATTTCTTATCCTGGCACCTGGTTGGCGCAGTCATTAAAGCATTTTTCATTAGCAGGAGGCTGACGACCCGGGGCGCTTACCGGGTGCCAGCAAGGGCTGTTCCTCCTCCCCACATTCCAATATGCAAGTTCAATCAAAGAGGATATTATTCTTCATCTCCTTGCCAAGCCCAGCACTGATAAAACTACCACATAGCGAAACAGAAAAAGGGTATGTTGCTATGACGGATGAGGTAATTTCTACCTGTATTAAATAGTTTACAGTCCAAAGGAAATATGGCGAGAAAGAGGTTACTGCTTGACGTCATTAGCTGACTGAGAAGCTTTGATTAGATAAGGCTTTCCTCCTTTTTTTTTCTCCCCTCATTTGAAGACAAACTGAGAAAATGACAAATAAATAGATACAATCCCTCACCTCTCACACACACAGTAAAGGGCAGACAACCCTCTTCCATTCTCACTTGCTGACACCAAACACTACCTGAGCTCGCCCCTCTCCTGATCTTCTTTAAAGCTGTCAAAAAACACCATTAATTAAAAATCAAAACACTGCAGTACATATAAACACAGGGACTTGTGGGCTAACATCCGTTTCCTAAACTCATAGAAACTATCTTTGTGCATCATTTTTTTCTGCAGAAAGAAAGGAAAACACAAAAGACAAAGCGTGAAGTTCAGTTTTCAAGTAACATTTCTCCTTAGGTCATCCTGAATAGTCTGGCTTATCAGAATTTAAAAAATAGCTACTTCTCCAAACTGTTACCTGAAAATAAAGAATGTTTCTTAAAAATATACCCAGAAATAACTTCTTGCCAGGACCTTAAGGAGTACAGTGAAATAACAGCAGTAATACAGGAATGTGCGTAGCATAATATATAATCCAATTCTCTTGCCTTTACAAAGGCCCCATCAATGAATAATCGCTCCGAGGAAGGATAAGGCATGTATGCACACGCAAAGGCAAGGCTATTTAAAGATGTGCGGCATGAGAAAGTTTTTGTCATTTTATATGAATCTATAGCACAGTTATAATAGACAACCTCAGTTTTGGCACCGCACAAATGCTTTCCATTTGATTTTATTTTTTTAAAACTCAGTCAATCATTTTACTGACAAACTGCAGTTATTACTAATTTTGTCTTTGGTTTTATCTACCAAGCAGTTCTATACCTGTCTTTCACTGAATTTCACAAATCAAAACCTTAATTTCTTGATTCACCCAAAGAAACTTCACAAGAGGAATGCCATGCACAAAAATGACTCAACGAAGGACCGTTTTATGCAAGTGTACAGCTTACATTCTTTGTTCATACCACAATTCATTACATATTACTGTATAACAGATTTGCCTTGCTCTCATTTGAGATTAGTTACTAAATGGCACATTTTAAAACAAAACACTGCAGAAGGGCAGCTCTCGAAGTGATGAGACTGAAGGAATTTCGAACCAACAGGAGAAAACGAATCAGAACGAAGCCTCAGGAGCTGAGAAGGTGGAGGGGGAAGCCCTACCAGGCACGGAGATGATGCGTCCTCTGCAGATTTTATGATCCGGGGATAGATAATCCAAGAGACAACCACAAATGCAGAAAGGCAGAATCTAATTCTAAGAACATTAACCAGATAACAGTCAACTTCTCTTCAGTTCTGTTCCAGCAGCCAAGAAGAAAGGGTTTCACAGAGAAATGTGAATGATTTGATGGATGATTATAGGGAACGCCTCTTTCGAGCCCAAAGCTTGGTCGAGACAGACATTCACTTGTCAGTGCAGCCTGTGCAGCTATGTCCCAAAGTAATTTGGGTAACTTGTGCCGCAGCTGAAGACAGTTGTGCCCCATTCTCTTTGGAGAAGCGGATCTCTGTACCGAGAGGCGCTGCCAGCAGTGTCACACACAGCAGTAGCGGGCAGCACTGGCTCCCAGCACTGATGCAGCTTTCTTTTTTCCCCAGCATATGGTGGCAGCCCAGCTTTCACAGCCCCGCTGCCAGCACTCCCGTCAGCTGCTCTGGGGCTGGTCTGAGCACATCACCCTGCGTGCCACAGGACTTGGATCTCAAACTGAGACAAAACCACCTGACTGTTCTTATTTCCATTTGTCTCAGTGATGACAGTGAACTTTTTACGGCATGAATTTTTAATTCTTCTTTGGAATAAGGCTTACTGTTTTTGGAATAAGTCTTATCTGCAATAAGGGAATAAACTGGTGGTAGCAGGGTCATGCTTGCTGGTCCCATCAAAAAACACAACTTCCTGGGAGTATCCGTACAATGATGTAATGCTAACAGGCCCATCTAATTTTAAAAAAATTAAAAAAAAAAAAACACAAAAACAAACCCCAACACCATGCCTAATATAATTTTTGGTGAAAAATCCATAATGAAAGGAACCAAATCAATTTCAGACTTGATTGTTGTTTTTTAAAAAAAGAATAACAAGCATGTGCAAATATTAATGTGTAAAACATTTCTAGGGTAAATATTTCATTTAACTGTAAAATGAAATGAGTGACCTTTAGCAAATTCTTTGGCTACATTTCCTTTTTTAAGCTGCAAGAAATATTAAAAGAACAAAGCAAAGCAAAACTAGGCAGAAAGTCTAATGCACTAATGCTTTTATAATTTAAAACAGGTAGAAAAAGGCAACTTTGCTATATTCAAACTGTTACTGTTTTGCTGACAATGGCACAACTTCCAGCTGTTAAACAGCTTCATTGGATATCTTATCCATTGTTTGATTTCAGGTTCTTTTACAAAGAAATTAAATTATAAAGCCCAAAGCAAGAACACATGAACATGTAAATAAACAAAGATTCTGCGCTGCAGACCATGGGCAGGACCCACACTGGAGTAGGGGAAAAGTGTGAGGAGCTGCTACGGACTGACCACAACCCTCCATCCCCACCCCCCTATGCCGCTCTGGATGGGGAGGGAGGTAGATGGGTCAGGAATGAAGGACTGAAGCGGAGCCTGGGAAGAAGCGGGAGAGGATGGGGGGAACACGTTGGTTCAATTTGCCTTTGTTTCTTACCACACAAATATATTTTAATTTGCAGCAAATTAAATTTATTTTCCCCAAGCCGAGTCTGTTTTGGCCATGACGGTTAACTGGTGAGCAGCCCCCCTGACTTCATCTCGACAGCCAAGCCCTGCCGTCGTATTTTCTCCCCTGTCCTGTTGAGGAGGGAGAGTAAGCGAGGGGCTGGGTGGGTGTCTGGCTGCTGGCCAAGGCAAACCCACCGCACCATGATCAGTATATTAGCCTATTTTTCTTTTAAACTGGCTCTGTGCTTTTCCACTAACCACCACCACCACATTATTTTGACCAAGGAGAGCAAAAAAAAGCAGCTCATTTTATATAGACCAGCTTATTTCTACACGTTAAGTTTGTGACACTGCCAGTGGAGTGGGAGTTCAAGAGAAAACAGCAAATTTTAAAAGATATTATTTTTAAAAGGTGAAGATGTACATTTGACTAAATCCGATAATTTAGGGTATCAGGACTTTCATATATGAATATAGGCAGACAGCAAAGATGATGCCCAAAAATACAAATAAAAAGCAAGACTACCTGATCTTCAGCTGCAAAATGTCAAAATAGAAACACTGCTGGGAAACCAAAGGCAAAGAATGCCTATGAAAAAGGACTTACAAAGGCAAGGGAGAAGCTGAGATCTTTCATACATTTTTTGTGAAGACCAACATGTTTCTTGTCACTTGCTCAGCTACAGGCTCCCTGTTCAAATATGACTCTGTTCAATGATGAGACAGGCTTGAAGTCTCTAGTCCAAATTTTGTAAGTTTTGGAATTTGCCTCTGAACCCCATCTAGTAGCTGTCAGTGGGAATGACAACATCCGTGGTGAAAAGAGTCTACAAATGCATTGAAGCAAGGAGAAACAGGGAGTCTTCAGAGTGTTTTAAGAATGTGAGTGAGCCCGGAAAAAGGAATGGTAAAAACACAATACAGCCGTATCGGTAACTTAATCTTAAATGCTTATATAATTTAACTTGTTTGTTTACAGAGCTTCCAAAGTTCACATAAAGTGTATCTACACCAAAGGAAACCACACAGTGTTATTCTACTATTGGCATTTAGCTCAGTGCAAGAAAAAACAAACACGTGCTCTTATTTCTAGTGACTAGAAAGACAAAATATGAATCAACTCCCATTTTGACGATAGGTCTGAAAGACTGCTACAACTGACACTAAGATGACAGAGCTAATTGCCAGTTTTCATCATAGCCTACAATTTTAAATCAACAAAAGCAAAATTTAAGTGTTGAAACCTTACTCACCTGTCATAAATATAGTTCAAGAATTTCAACTCCAGAGGACTACAAAGAGCCCTGAAGTTACATAACTGCAAATGTCATCAGGTAGGACAGTACAGAAGTTATACTGTAATTCCTTTCCTCTTCTTTACATAAAAGGTATGTAAAGAATTACCAAACG